CCCCGTCTCCCCACGGGGCACCACCAGCTCCTTCTCTACGTCGGTGAGTCTGTTTCTTTTCTGTTATCTCCACCCCTTCCTTTCAGATTCCGCATCTAAGTGACACCTCACAGTATTTGTCTTTCTCTGTCTGACTCATTTGCCTCAGCATAACGGCCGCCAAGTCCATCCACGCTGTGCCCCAGAAACGAACCCAACATTTTAAATCAACCCCACTTCAGTTACAAAGCAAACCACCAAACCACCCATTTACAATTGGGGCAGAAGCGCTGAACAGTCGTTTTTTTCCAGAAGAGGAAGCGCGGACGGCCAACAGGAACACGAAAAGCTGCTCAGCATCGCTAACATCAGGGGAAACTCAGATCAAAACCACGACGAGGCAGCACCTCACACCCGTTGGCATGGCCACCGCCAAAGGACACTCAAACAACAAACGCCCCGAACAGCTTTGTACCCGGCGAGGCTCAGCCCACCCCAGGCACAGGATCGAGTCTATCCCCAACGGCGCCGGCGTGCGACCGAGCCGAGACCTCCACCCACCGCTCATCACCTCATTCAACAGACCGGGCAATGGTGAGTCTCTGAAAGATAAAACCAGACTCCAATTGCCTCCGCTTTGAATTTTTTTACTTTATTACATTTTTGTTTGATTTTTTTTTTTTTGCGGGGTAGGGGAGAGAATTTGGATTATTTATTTTTTTAATGGAGGCACTGGGGATCGAACCCGAGACCCTGCGCACACCAGGCACGCCTCTACTCCTGAGCTGCAACCACCCCCTTTGCCTCCCCTTTACTTATTGAAGCAAAATTCAAGCAGCGTGAGAATCACCTTTCACCATTTTCGACTAAAGAACGCGGGGCCTTTAGCAAACTCACAGTGTTGTGCAACCAGCCACCTCTGTCTGCATCCAGAACATTCTCATCGCCCGCCCAAAGGAGACCCCGTCCACCTTGAGCCGTCACCCCCATCCCCCAGCCCCTGGCACCAGGAACCCACTTTCTGTGTCTGTGGGTTTGCGCGTCCTGGGCGTTTCCTGTAGACGGACTCACACACCGTGTGTCCTGTGCCTGCCACTGTCACTGCGCACACAATCTACTCGCCCACGGGAAGGGGTGACACGCTGATTCTGCTACGTTGTGGGTGAACCTTCCACACCCGTCTGGATTTTAAATTTTAGTGTGGAACAGACAAGAACTCCTACGTTACTCTACTGCTATGTGATTTTATTTTTTTTTAAAGCATATTCAATACCCTGTGGTCACCTGTCATGAAAAAGAATATGAAAAGGAATTATATGTATGTGTATGCATGAGCGACACCCAATGCTGCACACCACGCATGGACACAACATTGTAACGGACTAGACTTCAATGAAAATAAATACATAAAATGTATTATGTTTAAAAAGACACAAATGAACTTATTCACAAAACAGAAACAGACTTACAGACACAGAGAATGAACTTATAATCACCGGGGGTGGGGGCCAGGGGTGGGAAGAGACACACTGGGAGTTTGAGATCTGCAGATACTAACTACTATATACAAAACAGATAAACAAGTTTATACCGTACAGCACAGGGAACTCCGTTCAATATCTTGTATAAACTAATAATGAAAAAGAATATGAACAGGAATCTATCCGTGTGCGTGACTGACACACGACGCTGTGCACCAGAAACTGACACACGTTGTAAACTGACTAGACTTCAATTGAAGAAAACAAAGAACTGTTTCCAATACGTCGATACATGTGTTTCAGTGACCATCACCTCATTTGTCTTCGTACCTTTTTCAGGCTAAGCACTTAAGAACTTCATTCTGAGACACGGTCCATGGTACCAGCAGACGCCCCAGAAAGGCCCCGGCGGCCAGCCTTCTGCGCATACACTCGGCTGTAGTTCCAGAACACTCGCATACCCCCAAGCGAGGCCCCGTCCCCATTAGGCACTCAAGCCCCGCTCCGCCTCCCCAGCTCCCTGCAATGGACCCCGAGCCGGGGGACTGCCGCCCTACCTGGGACACCATGAAGCCGTTGCAGTGCTCCGTGAGGAGACGGTAGGCCTGGTCCTCCGGGGAACCCATCTTCCTCCACGCCGGCCTGGCTTTGAGGACCCCCCGGCTGTCCCAGCTTCGGGGACCACGGGTCTATAAGGAAGATGCTGGGGGGGGGGTGCCGGCCAAGGGCTCAGCGCTGCCGTCAGAAGCTCCTTGCTGGAGGCCCGGGAATGAGCTCAAGTCAGGTCACCCTAGAAAATTCCGTAAGCCTCATTAAAGGGATGACAAATCTTGTGGGTCCCACCTGGGTTTCAGCTCAGCCTTCTGTCCCTGATGAGCACACAGCCCTGAAACAGCCTGTACCCCCAGCCCCACGCCCTGCCCCCCTTCCACCACCAGCTGTGGACGGATCCAACTCCAAAGTGCCCACCAGTCCCCAGCGCCGATGACGCAGCTGATGGCCTGAAGCCTCCGTGCCCCTTCCTGCGCGGACACAGCGGGCGTATTAATTTTCTACAGTGGCCGTAGCAAATGAACCACAAACTGAGAGGCTTAAAACCGCAGACGTCCATCCTCCCCGAGTGCTGGAGACCAGACATCTGAGACCAAGGTGCGTGAGACCAAGAAGGGGCCGACATGAGTGAAGGACAGACAGCTTTACAGAGAAGCAATGAAAAATTCGGGGATTAAAACAAAAAAATTGCCACGGAAACTTCCCCTCAATCTTATTTATCCATTCATCTATTGATGCACACGTAGGTTATGGCAAGATATTGAACACAGTGGTCGGAAATTGACACATTGTAACTGACGGTGCCTCAATTTAAAAAAAAAAAATAACACATGCAGAAGAGGAGCCATCCACGGATGGGAGACTGAACATTTTGGAAAAATAGGGCTGTGGGCAGAGTCGTCGAGACACTGAGATCTTTCCTCCAGGAGGACGGAGCGTCTGGGCATCTGGTGCATTTGCGTGATTAAAACACAAGCAGCCGTGCTGAGCCTAAACGCCCCCCCGCCCCCGCGGCTGCAGGCTCTGTCCGGGGTCTTCAGTTAAGGCGATTACTTTAGTAATGAAGTGGGGTGTTGAGAAGGACCAGGGCGCTCTCAGAGACGGAAGCATAACCTTTGAAATTCAAGGTCGCTGCTCGGACTCAGGCTTTCAGAAGCAGGAGGGACTCGGAGCCGGTGACGGTCCCACCCCGTCCGGCGTCCGGCTGTTTGCTAGATCAGCATCAGACCCCCGGCCCCTCCCTGGACGGTCCCCATTCCTTGCCAGAAGAAGACAGACGGCATTCCGACCGCAGGGAGTTCTCACTGGCCAGAAAAGAATTTACGTTGACAAGCGTTCTTTTAAAAACGAGCCTGGCTTGTGCGTTTAAGACCAAAAATGTAATTAATTCTGAAACTAAATGGTGGTGATGGTTGCTGTCCTAAAAAACCCACTGAATTGTACACTTTAAGAAGGTGGATTTTATGGTATGTGGACTATATACCTGGCTTTGCTTTTTAGGACTATTTTTATTATGACAGCTCTGGGTTTGCAGGAAATTTTAAACGGAAAACAGATTTAGCAAGACCTCCAGCCTTCACAAAGGCATTGCCCCCCCCAGTAAGGCTGTGTTTAAGGAATAAAGCACACAGGTATACAGAGAAGGGATGTTGGGCTCGGCTGCAGACCTCACCGACACAGCAAACACTGCCGGAGTGAGTCACGCGAATTTTTTCCTTTCCCCATGACCATTACGCTAGACTGTAGTCTGTCACCTGTGCAGCAGCTTTATGTCTTAAAAAAACAAAACAAAACAATGCAGCTACTACAATTAAAAACACTTCATGCTAAAAACAAACAAACAAACAAAAAACAAAAAAAAAAAAACCCCAAAAAACTAGCCATTCTCTGAGCCTTCAGTGAATCCTGGTCCTAATGTCAAAATCATAGGTACTGTAACAAGTAGAGTAATAATTTAGAAGTTGTAGAGACATGCTGAGAATCTCCCCAACGTGACTCAGAGACACCAAGGGAGCAAATGCTGTTGGAAAAATGGCACTGACAGCTGTGCTTGAGGCAGGGTGGCCCCACACCTTCCACTGGGGTGGGGGTGGGGGGACAACTGACCTCTGCAAAGAGCAATACAACACGGTCCGCCCGTACGTGGACACTTAGGAAGGTCTGGAACAGGAAACTGGCCCCAGGTAACGGCACACACAGGCTGCCTCAAAATGCAAAGTCTGCCGCTCCGTGCAGTGGGGCTCCCCGACCCCGGGCTCTGTCTCCTGGGGTCCGCACCCCCCCCATCGGGACCTAAGACACACGGGTGCAGGGCAGACGAGACCCAGGATGTTACCCTGCTTCTGAGCAACAGGAAGCCGGGAAGTAGCACCCCGTCTTGTTACAAACGACCGCTGGCGTGTGAGGAAAGCTCTCACGTAGACCCGAGCACCCGGGAACACCGCCTCTGAGGGATGCTTTCCTGCCTGCCCGGCAATAGTAAGCAGGCTTTACCTGACGGGGACAGAGGCACCCCCGCTCCCGGACACAAAATCCCAAACCCTGGCCCCCAGCACGGCTCCCGCTGCAGGAAGGCAGCTCCCCCAGGTTTGTCTGCTGAGTGACGGCATGTCTGTGAGAAGGTATGAGGAAGGCCGGGGGGGGCGGTGGCTGCAGGAAGTGGGGTCCTCTGATACGTGGGCCATGGGGACATCTGGCTCCCCAGGAGCCAGGGCCACCCTGACGTGAGCCACACAGCTCTGTCCTCGGGACCCGCGACGGGATTGAAGGAAACACAGAAGGAATGGGAAGATTTACGTGGCACAATCCTCAACTCTGAGTGCATGTGGGGACCGCCTGGGCGAGGGGCGGTTCACAGACCTCCACCTGGGCTGGCGCAGACCCCCCGAGGTAGGAAGTCAGGCCTTGGGATTTTTAAATGCTCCCGGGGTGACTGACATGCCAGGAAAATACAGCATCACGGATTCAACATTATCTAGTCATTCGGTGAGAAATGGCTACATCAACCACAAAATACATGTTAGAACAAGAAGAATCAACATTGTAGACTCTGAAATTGGGCTGTTACACGGAAACGGTGTGGCTCAAGTGGCAGAGGGCTTGCTTAGCACGCACGAGGTCCTGGGTTCAATCCCCAGGACCTCCTCCAAATGTAAATAAATAAATCTAATTACCCCGCCGGCCAAAAAAAATAATAATTAAATTGAGATGTTGCATGGGGTTGAGTGCTCCCCTAAATTTCCTGGAACCTCAGGGTCTCTGCAGACGGGATGATGTGATGGACCTGAGAGGAGATCCTCCTGGAGGAGGTGGCCCTGCATCCAAGGACAGTGACCTCAGAAGAGACAGAAGAGGAGAGACACAGAGGAGAAGCTACGTGGAGATGGAGGCAGAGACGGGAGGGAGGCGGCCACCAGCCCAGGGATGGACGCCTGGAGCCCCCAGAAGCTGGAAGAGGCAGGAGGGACCCTCCCCTGGAGCCTCGGGAGGGAGCACGGCCCTGGGACACCTTGACCTCAGACGTCTGGTCTCCAGAGCCCCCAGTTTGTGGCCATTTGTCACCCCCGCCCCCAGGAAACCAACACAGATTTCTTACCAGTAATGTGACTCACAGCTGATGGTGGATGGCACGGCTCCCTTCTCCCGGGTGCTCCTCATCGCTGTGTCAGATGCAGGTCCGAGGCTGAGGAAACACTGAGGTTGGTGTAAGGAAAACGGGTGAGCAGGATGGGCCCCGCCTGGGTCTGAGCCACGTGGACCTGAGCCAAGAGAGGGTGGCAGGGAGGGGGCCCACGCCGTCCTCAGCTTCTCCCAGAGTCAGATGCCCAGATGTCTGGGGAGACGTCACATAGTCCAGTCCCTGAACCAAACCAGCTTCTAAACCTTCTCAAAGAGCGAGGCATACAGGGGAATGAGACCAATAACCCCCTCCGCAGAACCTAGGAAAAGGGAAATTAAGGAAAAAGCCAGAACACGACATCCTTGGGGTTTTTATTCGGGGGGAACGAATGTAACATAACGAACGTGGTTATTACGCACGTAACATAAAGCTGACCATTTTAACCATTTAAAGTGAAGAACTCAGGAGCACTCAGGACATTCACAGAGTTGGGCAGCCTTCATCTGTGCTTCTGAAACATTCTCATCCCCCCAGAAGGAGAGCCCGCCCCCCTGGGCAGTCACTCCCACTCCCCCAGCCCCTGGCACCACTAACCCACTTCCTGCGTCTCTGGATTTGCCTGTTCGGGGCGTTTCCTGTAAGTGGAATCACACACCGTCTGTCCTTCTGTGTCGGCTTCTCTCACGGAGCCATCCCGTGTTCAAGTCCACCCACGCTGCAGCCTGTGTCAGAGCTTCACTCCTTTTCCTGGCTGAGCAATATTCTCCCGTGTGCATGGATCTCATTTTATTTTTCCATCCATCCGTCCATCCATCCATCCATCCTCCATGCACTTGGGCACACTCCTGGCCATTGTAAATGCTGTTGTTATAATCAATCCTGGACAAGTGTTTTTGATTCCTTGGGGTGTACACTTCGGAGTGAGATGACTGCACCCTGTGCGCGTTCTAGGTTTAACTTTTTGAGGAGCTGCTAAACCCTTTCCCAAGGATCCAATTTCTCCACATCCTTGTCCACACTTACTAAGATTGCCACTCTAGGGTTTTCTTTTTCAACTGAGCAACTTTTGGTTTCATCTGTTGGGAGTCTGGGGTGGCAGGATGATTTAATCTGCCGCCCTTAAGCAAGATGGAAGGCGACTGCAGAAGGCTTCAGTGAGGACATACTTGGCGCTCGCCTGGTGCCAGTTACCTCCAGCTGCTCTAACAGCTCAGACTGGAGGGCGGACCTCTGAGATCTCGGCAGGGGTAGATTTAGTGTCCGGTGAGGACTCGCTTCCTGGCTCCTAGCTGCACATCTCACTGTGTTCTGACGTGAGGGAAGGGGCAGGGAGCCCTGTGGAGTCTCTTTAAAAGGACACTCTGGGGGGAGGGTATAGCTCAGGGATAGAGTGTGTGCTTAACATGCATGGGGTCCTGGGTTCAATCCCCAGTCCCTCCATTAAAATAAATAAACCTAATTACCTACCCCCTTGCAAAATTTTTTTCTTAAAAATGAAAGGACACCCATCCCATTCATGAGCTGATCGCCTCCCAGAGCGCCCCCTGCCTTCCTAATACCATCAACTTGGGGGTTAGGGCTTCAATCTAGGAATGAGGGCAGAGGGCAGGGTGGGGCACAAACATTCACTCCACAGCACCCGGGCTCCAGTGCTCTGATGGGGTGGAGAGGGGAACAGGACCCTGGGGGCACGCCTGAGTGGGAGGGCAGGAGAGAAGACCCCAAAGCCAGGCTCCCGAATCCTCATTCTTAATCATGTTGCCTCGTTAAAGCCTTTGCAACGTCACAACAAACCCCTACTGTCCTCTCCACGGCAGAGCCCGGCTTGGAGAGAGGGAACACACGTGACTTAACGCCAAAACCTTTTTTCCTGCCACCCTTGGATGCCACGTGTGTGTCTTGGACACCCAGATGTGTAACTTCCACCAAATTCCTTTCTTCCACATTCAGCACCGAACGGACTCCCAGACAAGGAAAACCATCAAAGTAAACACGGCCGCCGCAAATGACCAAGGAGAAGGCTCTCCCAGAAAACACAACAAGCCTTAACTCCTACGCAACCAGTAACAGCGCCAAAACACAAAGGGCGGGAACTGATAGGACTCTGGAGGAAAAAGGGATGTGTCTGCTGCTACGGTCGGGGACTTCAACACCACCCTTTCCTCAGCAACCGACAGACCCTGGTAGCAGAGGGTCAGCCAGTCAGGGAGACACAGCCGGGGTGGCACTGCTGTCCTTCTGCCTTTCTGTCCTGTAGCTCAGTGGTTCTGGAGGTAAAATGTGCGTGATCGGTGGAAGGCCTCGTTAGAATTCAGATTTCTGAATCTCGTCCTCCACAACACCTCCCCTGACCTCACAGAGACCTCCTGTGACTTCAGAGAGCGCTCCCCTGACCTCAGAGATCTGAGACTTTAGAGAGCCCCGCCAAACACACACAAACACACAAATGCCACTTGGCCATTCTCGTTCCTGTATGTACCGCCCCAGGGTTCAGAGGGCCTGTCTCATCCAGAACCACATTCCGGGCACCCAGTTTCTCAGAGCTGCTGATGGGGCAAAAAACACTCGGGGCTGCACAAGGGTGTCTCCCATCACTGGGTGTCTGACCACATCCTGCACCCATTCCTCGGCCAGTGACAGGCAAGGCAAATAGCAGCGCACAGAAGGGAAGGAAAACTTTCTCCTCTTTCAGGCTGTGCCCACCTGAGTTTCTGACAGTCACGACTGGGGTAGAAGGGGCACGTGATCGTCCTCCAGGCTCTGAGAAGATCTGGGTTTGAACCACACACAGAGAGACAGAGGGACCCTGGGCTGCAGGAGCACCGACGCCTACTTGAGACCTTGATCCAAGGAGAACCACTCTTCTTTAATCCGTTCCGTAAAGTGGCACCTTTGCTTTAAGAAGACTGCTTTCGTGAACTCACTAAACTTCGCGTAAACAAGTCAAATGCCTCTTAGGACCCAGGTTCACCCCTGGGGGGTCATTTTACGGTCGTCATAGTACGTGAAATGAATATTCAGAAATCAGCGAGTGATCTCTACCGGTTTCATATACGGTAAGTCACACTCATGTTGAGAACGCAGCCCAAAGAGCTTAACGAGAGTAACATAAATTGGGGAAACACTGGCTCATTGGAAAAGGATTTTATTTTACCATAAAAATGCAAACTGGAATAAACACGTCTCCTAACGCGAACATTACAGCTATTTTTAAGCATTTCTGAGCTTCGCTTGGAGAAGCCAACAATTATAAAATTTAACAAGTTTGCAGCCATAAGTCTGTTTGAAACGTTCCAAGTAAAAATAATTTAGCAAAACGGCTTCTTAAAAAAACCACACAGGCTAACCTTCACTAGAAACCAAAGCTAATCTTAACCAACCTGTTTTTTTATTTTACGCTGAATGACTTGGATTTGTAAAAAGTGAACGTTGGTGACGTAAGGAGCAGCAGATCATCCGTTCCACCTCCCCACCTGCCCACACCTTAAAAGACGGCAGGTCTGAGTTTCCATCCTACACCACTCGCAGCCTCCTGGCCGGTGACTTAAATGCACTCCACCCGAACTTCATTCCGAATCTTCAAACTTAGAAAAAAAGGGAAAACAACAAAAACCAAAAAACCCCTCCAGGGCAACGCTTCCTGATTCCAGGGCCCTGCGGGGCCGTGGCCGCCACACCGGTCCGTCCCCAGTGCCGAGACATGTGGCTCCAGTGAAGTCAGCACGAATCCTGCGCTCCACGTGCGCGGTGGGTCTGCGACCCTCACCCCTGCCGCCTGGGCAGTTTTCCTGACTCTCAGAGCACTGGCGACGTTAAAGCTATCGGATCGAGTCTGAAGGGAAACTGAAGCTCCGGACGGACGG